CTCCACGCTCCTCCCCATTACCCCATTATGATCGGAAGGCCCGAGCAGATGGCATCGATTACTTCCCGTGGGACACTGGGAAAAGGATATACCACCCCTCACCCCTGGCTAATCTGGCCTAATTGACTTTCTCTTGCAGTTGGATTCCTCCGGTGACGTTGAGTTGAGACTGTTGAGCTCTGTAATGCTATTTGGTTTTCTGCCTTGTACCTGCTCCTCTCGGTCGCTGGGTTGGATCTGCTCAGATACCTAGAGCAGTGTGGACTGTGTAGCTTTCCTATTTGCTGGCGCGCTCTCCTAGGTTAATCATACGGTTACCTTAGCTTCTTGAGCGACTGTGGACTGAGGCCGACCATGGTAAATACCGCAAAAAAAACTTTCCCTACCCTGTTAGTTCGATTCCTTGGATGGATGGGGATGAAAAAGACAGACAGGTGAGCGGACTTCGTAGTAGTTTGAAACAGTAGTCTATTGTGGTTTTAGATCCGAGTGGGGGGATATTGCTTTGACTAGGGTTTAGGGAAGTTTAGGCCCTTCAGGGTCTTAGCGGATAGTTTGGGCAATAAAAAACGGAGGCTGGGTAAATGCTTCGACGGACCTTGGGGTGCCGGCGTGGGTCAGGGAATACCTTGAAGGCTTGGAATTGGAATGGGGCTCGTAGCAGGACCTCTTTCTTCTTGTAGGTTTGGTGCTTTTGCTCACCTTCCGCACTCGACTTATTTCTCCTTTCATTGCGTAACGAGTTATAGAGTCAACCGGCTGTGTGATCGGAACTGTCATTTGGAAGGTAATCGGGTTCTGGCTGAGCTGTGCTGGTATAACTAGCCAGCCAATCCTTGAGAACTAGCCCTTCGCCCACAATTGAGCCGAGTTTTCCATTGCGTAGCCTTTTTTTTTTTTTTTTTTTTTTTTTTCCCTTTGCGTAGCCTCAAAATCGTAAATTTAAAATTCCTCCTTGATTTTTTTTTTTTTTTTTTTTTTTTTTTTTTTAATAATCTGGCACTTCTTGGAACTGTTTTCTTGTTCGGATCCAGAAGGCTTGGATCTAAGTTTCTTTTTTTCCTTTTTTTTTGTTTTTCAATACACCCGAGCGTAAGTTAGGGGTGCGGGTAAGAGCAGGCACCACTAGCACGGCCAGGGGGAGCGGCACCTGCTCGAAATCGGGTCCAGCGTCCCAGAACATTGCAGTTGTTTGTGTGAACATATATGCAAGCAAGGTACTGGGCTCACCTGCTCAGAATGAAGTTTGGCAGGTAGAACTACACAGCAGTCTGTGCTGCTTGCCTACACGACAGCCTATGGCATGCATGCACCGCTATCGTGACTGCTGCTAGAAAAACAGACGTGCATTTGTAATGACAGCAAGCTACCGGGCTCATCTACAAAGAGTGAAGTTTGGCAGGTAGAAGTTCCGTAGAACTAGACAACAGTCTGAGTTACTTGCTTACATGACAGCCTTTTTTTTTTCTTTTTTTTTTTTTCCAACTCCCTTCCAGTGCTAGTGGTGCTGGTAAGAGCAGACACCACTAGCACCTGAGGAGAGGCTCCATCTATTGGTGGGGAGCATCACCTGCTGGAAAACGGCTCCAGCGTCCCTGATACTCAGACAGCCTATGGTGAATGATAGTATACACAGGTCTCCGGACCGTTGCTAGGAGAATAAGTAACCGATTGTAAGCAAAGGCTCGGCTACACCCGATTCATGCGACCAACAGCCAGCCTGTTATTGCCGTAGTTGTTTGTTCGAGTGTTGCTGAAGCATGATCCCATTCGTGAGCAGCAGCACCTGACAAGCGAGACGGCGCAGCACCGAATGCAGCCCTTTGTCTGGTGGAGCTCGCATTACAGACTGAGCAATAGCAATAGCTTGACGACGTACTTGCGCGCTGTCGCAGTTTAGCTGTCCAGTCGATCTCCGTTTCAATGATCTGATGATTAGGGGATTCTTTTGGGTTGGTACTGGACCTACTGGTATCGCCGAAAGTTACTGCACACCTCCTTTTTCCCATATAGCCCAGAGGGCCAGAGGGTTTCTTTTCTGATTAGGGAGAAGAAGAAGAAGAAGAGTTTGAATCCGATTCCTTTTGGAGGGGAGGGTTGTTCTCTGACAAGCAATAGAGTGGCGGGGTTGGTTATAATCATTCTGTTGGTGGAATGTCTGTTCCAGGTTGTTTCTATGTCATGCCACAGTTGTTTTTGGCTTTTTTACAGTCTATAAAACAGTGGTTGAGAGATATTCCTTGGTTGATTTCCGTCTTCTTTGCGAGAGCCATAGCCATAGGTTGGCAGGGACTGCTCTGAAGCTTATGAGCTACAGTAGGCCCGGCTAGCTAGTTTAGTTGGTCTTGTGGTCTTGTGCAGAAAAAAAATGAGGGCCAGGCTGGTGTTTATGTAAACGTTTGATAGAGTGCTTTCTTCTTTTTGCCATCTTTTTTGCAGTAGAGTTGCACTGACGTTGGTTTAGAGAAAAAGCGCGTATCGGTGTAACCCAGTTTAGGGGTGTAGTCGATTAGCGTGTGGGGGTGTTCGGCTAGGGATGGGGGGCTTGGTATGTACTCCAAGACCCCACTCAACTGGATCTATTCTCCAGGTTGCTATAGCCTTAAGAAGTTAAGAGCTCGATTCTGTGGCTCTGCATTCTTTGGCTTGTAATTTGGTCTCCTTCGATCACTCTGATTCTTTTTTGAGGTTGCTATAGCCTTAAGAGCTCCTTTCTTCGGCTCTGCCTTCTTTGTTCAGGAAACTCCGCCGGGTCGCCAGCTCCAGGGGGCCAAATGGAGCATGGTACCCACTGCCCAGTCTTTGTTGTGGTGTGTTCTGTGTTCATAGCGTGTTATTTTTAGGACCTCCTGGGTCACTGTTTCCTCCCTTTGTTGCCGCCTCGCCCAGTCGCCCCAAAGCCATTTCTGAGTGGACTTCAATAGTTGTCTCCATTCCCATGTGGACACTTTCGATGATGGAAGAGATGTTGGCCTGTAGGTTGTGTGGCTACCTTTCAAGGTTGTCCTTAGTTCCTTTTCAGTTTCCCGCCAAGCGATTCTAGTCTCCTTCCATATAGGTGCTGATTCTGCTGAACCTCCCAAATGCCCCATTCTAACCCATAACCCTATTTGGTGTTCGATTTGGTGAGCTGAATGCTGTAAGGCTGTGACCACTCCCGTCTTTGATCCAAGGGTTGCCGAATATTGGTTGTCTGAGCGAGCACTTTGTATCTCCTCTTGGGGCCGACTCTGTTATTGGGGAAGATCCTTCTCCGTGAGACGATGAGTTGCTCCCAAAGGATTGTGTTTCCCTTGGTTCTCTTCTTCCTCCGCTGCCTGCTGGCGATTCCTGTTTTTGTCTTCTTCAGGGAGGGGGCATTTTTTTATTGAAGCTCCAAACGAGGCTTGCCATGTCAGGAGGAGAAAACAAAGGGTCCCAGTTCTGTGATGAAATTGAGGGCCAACGGTACCCATTGGAGGTTGTCTTGGAGAGTCGGTCTGATGATCCGTTTTATTTGGACGGCCTGGATTTGATGTGCTGGGTCTATGATTTTCCTTGTCCACCTTTTCCTTTGCATTTGTGTGACTATCTGCCATGCTGCCTTGTGAATGAAGTGCTGTTTATCTGGGTTCCCGGTCCATAGGCAGGCCCCAGCCCTGCGCCAGATGTGTTGTTGGAATTCTAAGGAAGGGAACCATATCGAGGTGGCATACCGTACCGTACCATATCATTTGCGTGGAAGGGTCCATTTGAAGGTAATAAGATATTTTGGCTTTAATACAACCACCGGCTCATGATTCTTGCTATCCACCCAACTTCTTCGTCTCCGTTCACGCTTCCCAGGTCTCTTTTTCCTTCGTTTTCTTCGCCTTCCATAGGCCAGAATGAGATTCAGAAACGGGTTACGAGAACGTATAAGATACAATTCAATCGCCAACAGTTGGTCATAACCTACGAAAGCAATAGGCATAGCAACATAATCACCAACTCGGTTATGACGAAGCCATGGATGTAGTCGATGATTTCTCACGTTCTGGTTCAATGGAGCGTAGACCACGTAAAGATGCTCTTTCCATCGAGATTAGATTAAAAAAAAAAAAAAAAAAAAAAAAAAAAAAAAAAAAAAAAAAAAAAAAAAAAAAAAAAAAAAAAAAAAAAAAAAAAAAAAAAAGCTTACACCAAAGCAATACTAAAGCATAGACAAGTGGTCCGGGACAAGAGGTGAAGTCATAATTAACCGAAATAGATAGCGGAGATACGGAATGAATTTGTCACACTATGGAAGTTGTCGAAGGAGGATGAGGAGAACTATGGTTATTCTAAAGTTCTAAACACAATGTCAATCTTACAATCTCGTTGAAGTTTCGGATTCTTTCGAGCGTCTCTGCAAGCAAGAGCGAGTTCCGAAAGTTCACCCAACGCCCGATCATCGACCCTAGCATGCATCAATGTTGACATCATCATTGTCCTCGTGCTCGTTTTCTTCGACAAGATCCTTGGAGTCACCCGATTCCTTCGGTTCCACCGACTCCTCTTCGCTTCACTTTCCAAAGGCGTGATCTGTGTAAATGTTTGAAATTTCCACCGCCGGAGCTCTAATCGTCATGTACTCCAACTTCTCTTCTTCGCAGAGATTTTTCAATCTCCTTCTCCCTTATCTTCGACAACTCCTCACACGCTCTCCTCCTGAATCCTTCCTTGTCCTCATTCTTTAGTTTTACGAACTTGACACTCGCTTGTTCTTTGTTACCAGTTTCTTCGCATATAGGAATGTTCAAACCGAAGATTAACCTCAAGGACAAAGTCAGGAGTGCGTGAATGAAACACCTTAACGTCGGCAGGGAGGATCTTAAACCACCAGTACTTCCTAAAGTTGTGCCCGTTAACAAGCCAGAATTTTAGAAAAACTACGGGTCACTACAGGAGCGCCCAAATTCATCCAACTTGAAACGTTTCTCTATATTTTTTTCTGCGGTCGATATTTGGGCCAAGTACTAGTGGCTTAAGCCTATCCGGTGTGCAAGGAAGATGAGCAATAGCGAACTTCAGCAATCAAACAGCATCATACATATGAGTCCAGATAGTCGTGACCTCGAACCAACAGCAGAATTGCATCATGAGTTTCACCAAATAAGAGCACACCAAGAGTTCATAATTGACAATGCTGAAATAGTCCCATCATCATCATCAACGAAGAACCAGAGTTGATATCCTATCTGGCGCTCGGCCCCCAGACTACATGTGGCAGATCCTATCTAGCCTATACTACAATGCCGAAGTTGACGACAACAGCTCTCCCGAAGTACGAGCATACAACGACCAATGTCGCACGCTTCCAGCACCAGGTATGTCTCTCGCCTTACTCACAACCTCGTTCCCCAACACACAGATGCCACTTGCACCCAAGGACCACCCTGCGCCACACCCAGCTTACAGCAGCGCAGCTCGGCTATGGCTGCCTGCTCCTTCCCTGCTCGCCCGTGAGCGCGTAGGTGCCAGCCAGCAAATAGCGCAGCATCGCTTGCGCAGCATGCAGCCAGCACCCGAATGGTGAATGCGGAGGCAGGCCCTTTGCTATATCGAAGTGGCCTGCCTGCATCCAGTCCCAGGAAGCTTACAGTAGGCCCCGGAAGCCTGAGGCCCAGCACGAACGAGAACAGGCCTTGGGCCTGAGGTGGTTGCATGTGCCCAACTGCCTGTGGCCTGTGTTCGGCCCAGTACCCGTATCCAGCCTAGGGCCTGCTTTCCATACATTCACACAGGCGGCCCAGGGCCTGGGTTCTCTCAACCAACTGGCGCTGCGGAACTGCCTGAATTTCCTTGAGTTGGGCCCTGAGGGCCTCGTCGAGCCTGCCTTCACTTAGGGCGGCCGACTTGCTTCAGAATGGGGCCATAAGGGGCTCATAGAGGCATTGGCCTCGCATTCCCTCCTCCTTAGCTTCAACAGTCCTCTGAGAAGCTCAATCTTCAATCATTGGGTTCCCTGCTCTGCAGCAGCGGCCTTCCACAGTTCGCTTGAAAGTCAATAGCAAAATGTTCGGGCTCACCCCGGTGGCGCTGTGTACCGCATTGTTGTACAAACTGGCGATGAGAGCAAGCTTCTCATCCCAGTCCACCTGGTTGGGCTTGATGTAATGCCTCAACAGATGTTGTACAGCGCGGTTCAGTTGCTCGGCCTGGCCGTTGGCCTCTGGGTGATTCCCAGAAGTCATTTGCAATTGGGTTCCCTGCTCTGCAGCAGCGGCCTTCCACAGTTCGCTGGTAAATCGGACATCCCTGTCACTAATAATAGACTTCGGTAAACCAAAGTCTCTAACCCAGTTCTCTTTGAATATTCGGATCACATACTCCGTCCTTGCTGTTTCCGACATTGCTACTAACCTAGCATTCTTACTAAATCTATCCACGATAACGAAGATGTGTCTCATCCCATTCTTGCTGGTGACCAGCGTATCCATGAAGTCCATGGACAAACTCTCACCAGGCCTTTCCGGAATCGGAAGGGGCTTCAGGAGCCCAAGAGGAGCCTGCGTACGTGGCTTGTCCCTCTGACATACTTGACAAGTCTCCACGTACAGCTGGGCATCTCGCATCATCGTGGGCCACCAGAACCGCTGCAGCAGATTCGCTGCGGTCTTCTTGTACTCAAAATGGTCGGTGGCGTCATGGCACTCTCCTGAAAACAACCTACGCAAAGAATCGCTATTCGGGACACACAAACGTTTATTCCCAGCCTTCTCGAGGAACAGCAAGCCGTTGACCAACTCAAACTCAACAGAAGTCACTTTGTCCTTCGCTTCGAGTCTGCGGATGATCTCGGACATGAACGGATCCTCATGATAGGCTTCCACCATGGACTGAGTAACATTGTCCGCAAGCCCAAATTCAGTGATCAGCGCACCTGAGAAATCAGGTCTACGCGACAAGGCATCAGCAACCTTGTTGTACTCGCCCTTGATGTACTGGGGCTCGAAGTCATACTGCTCTATGACTTCGATCCAACGCTTCAGAGCGTCGGAGAGCACCGGTTGAGTTCTCATCCATCCCTGTGTCTGATGATCAGTCCTGAGGATGAAGAACCTCCCAAGGAGATAGTCTCTCCAATGGGTCAGAGCCTTGTAAACTGCATAGAGTTCCTTCTCATAGGTAGACTTAGCCAACTTCTGAGAGGGCATCTTTTTGGACATGTACTCTACTGACCTCAACTTTTTCCCCTCCTGTTGTGCAAGTACGGTGCCTATGCCATATTGGCTAGCATCCGTAGTCACTATAAATGGCTTCTCAGGATCAAGGAGTTTCAAGACTTTGTAATGCGTCAAAGCATGCTTCAGATGTCTGAAAGCAGCCTCGCATCTCTCAGTCCACTCCCATGGGGTGTCAAGGCGAGTCAGATCAGTCAAAGGGGCGGCGACTATGCTATAGTTTTCCACGAAATTGCGATAGTAGCCGGTCATCCCTAAGAAAGATCTCATCTCAGTCGCAGACTGAGAATGCGGCCAATCACGAATGCTGGCCACCTTCGCGTCATCGGGCTTCAACCCTTCCACGGAGATCTCATGACCCAAGTACAAGACACGTTTTCGGCCAAACTCGCACTTCTCACCGTTGATCTTGAACTTGTGTTGTCGCAGCAGACTGAGAACTTTGTCCAAATGTGCAACATGCTCCTCGACAGTCTTACTAAAAATAAGTATGTCATCGAGGTACACGATGACAAACTTATCCAAGTAGTCATGGAATATCCGATTCATAGCGTGCTGAAAGGTGCCAGGAGGGCGAATGGCCTGATGTCCAAGTGGTTAGGACAGCGGTTGGAAATGCGCACATAGTGGTTGAGGTTACAGGTTCGAATCTGTAACCTGCGCATGTACGTCGTTTCACGCTTTCATAGCGCCAGGCCATTCGCACACCGGTTGCTGCATGTCGGGGGGGGACTTCGAATGACTTCAGTTGCGGATGGCAACTTGCCCAAGTGGCCCAATGTCCAAGTGGTTAGGACAGCGGTGGAAATAACTGTGCACAAAAAACAGTGGATAAGGTTGCAGGTGCGAATCTGCAACCCTGCGCACATACACCGCGGAGCGCTCTCATAGCGTTGGGCCTGGTTACATGAGTACTGTTGAGATTGCGGCTTACCCGCAGTGGGTCTCGATGCGTGGTGCGTGGCTTGTGAGGTCGTATCCGCGCTGGCACGAAATAGCTGGCGCGTTGCGGGGATTATGAGGGCCTGAAATTGACAATTAAGGGTTCGATATTCGTGGCGCCCGCTGCGGGGACAATACCGGAGGTGAGTATACGAGGGGGGGGAGTTCAGTGGGATCATTCAGGGGGGGTTGCCCTGATTAGGACACTTTCCTAGCAGGGGTGTACACCTCATAACTTTCGGATGGCGACTGGGTGCGGCATGCCTCCCGGCTACGAGGTGGTCGAGATGATGCATGGTCTGAGTTCGGGGGTGTCCTAACAGCAGTCGCACGCGGTCGAGGAGCGCTGGTCCTAGGCCGAAACCCCCCATTCCTGGTACGTGAGGTCCTGAGTGACTGTCTGTTGAGAGTCTAGACTTCCTGTGTGTGTGTAGTATGAGTGTAGGGGAGGGATGGGGCATACGATATCATAGGGGCAGATCCGTCGGTCTGAGGTCTCACGTGGCGAGTGTAGTACCCGCTCCGATGGTGAGGGAAGGCTCAGCGTGCCGACCTCTACTGGCGGGGGTGCCTCATATGACAGCGCGACATTGTCCTTCTGAGTCCATCTTCGACCTACACAAACTTTGAAAAAAAAAAAAAAAAAAAGGTGCCAGGAGCATTGCAAAGGCCGAAAGGCATCACCACAAACTCGTACAGACCGTACCTGGTCTGAAAGGCGGTTTTGTGTTGATCCTCGGGCCGGATTGCAATCTGATGGTACCCGGACTTCAGATCTATCTTACTGAAGTACCGACACCCTTGCACTCTATCTAGCAAATCGTCGATGCGCGGTAGGGGCTCTCTGTTCTTAACAGTGATGGCGTTGAGGCTCCTATAATCAATGCACTTCCTAAGTGTACCCTCCTTTTTCTTAGGTACGAATAGTACATGAGATCCATAAGTAGAGACACTCGGCCAGATCCAACCCTTTTCTACGAGTTCCTTGAGTTGTCGGCGAAGCTCATCGAGCTCGCCTGGCGACATCCGATAGATCCTACCCTTCGGGATGCTAGACGCTGGGATAATCTCTATCGTGTGGACGACCTCCCTCTCCACAACCCCCGTCGACTCTTCAAACAGATCAGGGTACTTGGCAACTACTCCCTCTATCTCTGGCGGCATTTTCACCGGCTCGCCTGCAGCAGAGACATAAACTAAGTACATACCCTCCTCCTGATTTTGCTTATAATAGTTATAGAACGTGGTTGTACACATGCATCCATGGGACTCAATCAGACTACTAGCTTTGAACTTGTGCAATCTGGCGGTCCCTCCACCTGGCAAAGTGTGTTTGACCACTTTTCGGTCCCAGTCAATCTGGGGTTGTGCCACAGAGAGGTAGTACATACCTAACAACATGTCCATGGGGAGTTCATCACTCACTAGGAACGAGACACGATGTCTCAATTCCCCTCCCGCCTACGGGAAACAACACTCAACATCTTGGAGGTAGTCGTGGACTACCATGCGCTGTTTGTTGGCACAGATCGACTCCACAGGTCGACTAAGGCCCTGCACTTGCCCTTGTAAGCGCAACCTCTTAACGCATGCGCGACTAATAAAGTTCCTAGTCGAGCAAGTGTCATAATAGGCCCCGGCCTTCCGGCCGCCAATGACAACCTCGCTGACGAACATCTCACCCTTTGGGGCTTTGACTAGGGCCGTCCAAGAAGCTAGCGGGTCTGATCTAGACCACTCCTCCTCTAGCTCCTCTAAGGACTCAAACACATTCATCGAGCAGAGGCTCGATGGGTCTGAACGTGTTTGCGGGACGACGCTGGAGTCAGTAGCTTGGGCCATCTCTCGAGATGGTGAGGGTGTCTCCACCACCTCGACCCTAGTAGCAACAACTACTATTCCTACTGGCCCGACGTGTTTCCCGGAGCAATGCCTGAAGTGCTGGCCACATTGCTACCAACGGGATGGGAGGATCCTACCGCCTGCCCCATCGTAGACGGGATCTTATCGGTCACCTTCTTGTTACGGCACTTGAATTGGTTATGGCCATATTGGCCACAACGAATACAAGTTTGCCGGGTGTACCGGTCTCTCCACACGTCCTCAGTGAGACTTGACTCCTAGATCACTGGAGCATTGGGGTCAACTTGACTCCTAGATCGGGAACCTCCACGGCATCTATTAGTCGCCTTACCTTTCTGAGTTACAGCAGCAACTACTCCACCCCCTGAAGCTTCTACGCTGCGTGTCTCTGCACCTACTCCTTCCTGGAAGTTGCCGTCTAATTCGATGGTAGAACCATCGTTATCGACAAACATAATGCGCCCCTTCGCCTTCCAGTTAGGAGGCAGTGTCTTCCTCCTTCCGTCTGTAGTGGGTGCTTGTCCATGGCACCATTCACTATCTTCGCCTCAAGGTCTAGGGCCTTCTTGCTAAACGAAGGAAAGTTGTGCATATTGATGTTGGCCTCACCTGCCAACTGGTTCCTGAGAGGCAAGGAGAAGCATCTCAGGTAGGAGGTGAGTAGTACCTGGGGGTCATAGCGCACCCCTGGGACACAGATCAGACGCTCAACAACGTCGGTGGCTTCTCTTACCGACTTGAACTGCCGCGTGTGCAGTGTCAGGATCGCGTCAGTGGCCCTTTGGGCCTCCTGAGGATCATGCCACCTTTCCTCCACCATCTTGAGAAACTCCTCCAGTTTTTGGTGGGTTGCACAAGAGAGGAAGTCATGACCGTATCCCTGAAGTTGCACCAAACCGCTCAACCATCATTGAAAGAAAATTCTGCTTCCTTAATTTCTTATGAGTTGATAGTATCTTCTTTTTATGGGTGTGCTTGTTCGGTTAACATGATGTTTTTTTAGGGTGATTTACCATTAGAAGTCGTTATGGAGCCCAACATAGTAGCTGGAGAAGTGAAAAATCTTAAAGCGAGATTGACATCTCAGATGATTGAGGAAATAAAAGAAGGAAAACCGAAAAGACTTTTAATGACATTTTTGATGATCAAGAACCAAACCCGTCATCAGAAAAAAAAATGAACAAGGGAAGAAAAAACAGTTCATTCTCAAGAGTGAATTGGAAAATGAAACTGTGACCAGTGATATAATTACGAAAATGTTAGAGGGAACAAAAGTAACTCTATCCTTTAAAGAGGCGATGACTGTAGCGCTGAAGTTGAGAGAATAACTAAAAAATTTGATTGAAATTGGGATCGGTTTTCCCCAGTCAAGTGAACAGATCATTGTTAGGTTGTAAGATGAGATTCGCAACCATGGGCTGTAAACTTTTAACTATTTATATCAATTAAGTAAAGATTCAGACTTTAGTAGACTCTGAGGCAGAAATGGCTATTCTTTCCCATAGTACTATGAAAGTTTGTGACTTAACCATTGACATACCGTCAAAGAGCGTATTAAGTAATATTGTTGAGACTCTCTTCTTGACCGGCTGTATCGATAATTTGCCTATTGGACTAATGTCGGTCGAACTATTAGGGTTTGTGGTTCCAGATTTGGATCATGACTGTATTTTGGGCATTCCATTCTTGTATAGAATGAAAATTGACCAGTTTTTCATTCATGAAGGGTCATCCTGGATCGATCTGCAGAATCCGGAGACTTTCCAAGAACAAACATTTATGGTTTGTACTGAGAGGATCAAAAAACAAAAAGGGAAAGACAAACAGGAGGTCAATGAGAAAGTCTCAGTGGATATTAATCAGATTCCGAAACTGATGAAAATTTTTGGCGAACTCAGAGATGAAGATGGACAGATTTAAACATTTAAGAAAGTCGTTGAGTCTGCTAAGAGTGAAAAAATGAAATTAAAGTTTACATCAACTCATCATTTTTTATGAAAATAGGCACTGGGTCAAAAAGAAAGTATAAGTCCAAGGGAGTGAAAAAAAAACGGTGGTCGTCCTAATAGCAAAAAATTATGATGAAGCACTGGAAAAAGAAATGAGAATTATTAAAGCATTAAGAGAGTCTGCAAAATTGAGGAATAAAGTCACTAAGGAAAGGTTTGACACAATTAAGATTTATCTTGCCTAGAGAAAAAAAATATATTTTCAAAGTTTGCTAAGATTTTTCTGGTGCATTCTCCTTTAATAATGAAGAGAGAGAGAGAGCGCGGTTGGATGTGGGTATGATTAAAATGACAAAAATCTAGACAGTTGATCATATTCCATGGAATGACAGGCCAACCAAGTATGCCCAGAAGGAAGAGGCAGCGGTGGTAAAATATCTTGACATGAAAATTGTCTCTAATGTTGTTGAACTTGCCGATGGACCGTATGCTAACAACTAGTTTTGTTTTTAAAAAACAGGGGGTGAGCTAAGATGGACTCAAAATCTTCACTTCAAAAATATAATCTGACTGTCTGTGGGTCAAAATCCCTTCTCTTTCAAACATAGGTAACCATCTTGGGCTCTAAATGTTTCTCCACGGGTAGGAGTCTTGATCCCAAGAAAATAGATAAAATTCTGAATTAGTCTCTGCCACTTAAGCGAGTGACAGATGTCAGAAGCTTCTTGGGGTGTTTGTGGATTCTGGAGGATTTTTATTCCTCATTTTGCTACCCTTGCAGAGCCCCTAAGAGAGATGGTAAGACAATGGGTTGACTTATCATGGACTGATAAAAGACAGATTGTTGCAGAAACGTTACAAGAAAAATTAAAAGATGGAG